CGGCATACTACAGGGATACACAATCGATACCCCACAGTCATTGTAGCTTTGCGCCAGATTGTGGGAAGATTCCACACTGTGCGCCACGCATATACATTTATGAAGATTCGATTTGAGCGCGTCCAGCAATATGAGCTTTGCGGAGGGATCAAGAACAGCATAGTGCAATTCATCGGGAGTCGCGAGGTTTCCGACGGTCGGACGGCCACGTCCTCATAATGGGCCACATTAACTGGTCACAAAACATGCCTAATTAATTTGATTTGCCTTCTTCCCAACGTGGTCTTTCATGCATTTGCCACATATCCCTCCGTTGTTGTAATTTGGTACTCTTTGCATGTGAACCTTCGCACGTGAGCCATCGTGAATGTTTGGTTTTGTCAAGATCACAATTATGTCAATCTAGAATTGACAACTTATCTGTTAAAAACGTTGAATAAGTACGACCTCATAGCTTGCAACCGTCCTGAGAGACGAGATTGTGGCCTGAGGAAAGTGTGACCGCAATTGCACGTGACATGATACGCGCAACGTCACGGCTAATTCCATCTCCACGCGTTCTCTGCTCCTGCCATTGTTCTCGCTCCGCAGTGCAACTCGCTGGCAACCGCAGTGATTTCTGGCCACAAAGAACACAGGAAGCGCGTCTGCCACACAAACTACCACAAACATGCGCGATGACACTATAAATTCGAGCCGTTCCAAGTACGCCTCGGTAAGTATTCCTGAACTTACACACACATATCCCTGCAACGCCGCGTGACATGTCTATTCCTCCTTCTGCGCTCCATCGCCCTCACTTGAAACCGCTGAGCTCTCGTTGGCAGTTCCAGTCCGGTCAGCCTGAGGGTGGCGCACACCGCCGCTGGGCAGGTAAAGAGGCAGCAAACCACTTTTACGGGCTGGCGCCCATGGATGAGTTCTTCAACCTAGCATTTCCTGGGATTCAGCCACACGGACTTGACGGATCCAAATTGAACGACTTCAAAATCAACTTAGGGCTGGTACCTGTTGGTCCGCGCGTGCTCGAAAGGGAAATGTATAAACCACTTGTGCGCACCTTTTCATCACCTAATCCCTACAACTTCTGATCCCTGAAGTGGTCTTAGGAACTCGCATTGGACGAAATAGCTCAGGTCGTTCGGGGACAGGGTACACTGGAGCCGACAATTGCCGCGGAGCACATGGCCAACTTTGCCGATGAAGGTCTCAAGTTGTGTCCAGATATTGTCTTTCACACGTCGTCTACGCGTCGATTGTCCTCCTGGGCTTACGGTATCAGCTTTGTTGAAGTGAAACGGGATGAGAACGATGATCCTTTGCATCTTACCGACAGGAAAGCCAGTCTTCGTAACGTCGACGTCTGGAATCAAATAACAGAGTATGCTGCCATCGCTCAAAAGATGACATCGCGGTGCTTTTATGTGGCAGCCGGAGTATTTGGAGAGAAGGCACGATTCTTTTTGTGGGACCGCTCTGGCGTACTGGCCTCGGAGAGCTTTCGCTACAAGGAGGACCCTGAGCCGTTTGTGACCTTCCTGAATGGGCTGGCAAACTACCGATCCGGGGGCTTGGATGCCACTGCTCTTCACCAGCTAACCCCGATCGAAGTTTCTCGGATCTGCGAGGCTTGGGGAAAGGTGGAAGAGCTTGGCCTACTGAAGGGAAGGCACTATCCGACTACCAGTCTCTGGACAGACCTTTCACGCGAGAGCAGCGTTGTACTGCTTCCCGGCTCCCCTTATCAAGTCGAGGAAAGATATCTCACTATCGGCCGTCCTCTCTTCGCTACCGAATCAAATTTTGGTCGGGGAACCCGGGTCTGGTTGGCGATCAGAGCCGAAGGACCCACAGATGAATTTGTGATTATCAAAGATGGCTGGCGCGACGCAGAAAGATGGTCGGAGACAGGAATATATAAATATATCCGCGAGAAGTTGGGGAAAATACGAGGCTTAGCAAGACACAAGGACGGTCGTGACGTAGAAGAACCAGGGTATCCTCATCGATCACTCGCGCACCGTCTCGCCGCCTCCTTGGGAATTCGGCCCTCGCAACACCGAGTCCATCACAGGTGTATCCTGAGCTCCGTAGGCAAACCTCTCTCAAGTTTCAGCTCGACGTATGAGTTACTTGAAGCTGTGCGCGACGTTGTCAAAGGTGTGTCTTGATACGATTCTCGGTGAGCTTGCGTAATGAAAGACGATGATATAGGTCTCCGTGACCTGGCGAAACAAGGTGTCCTTCATCGAGACATCAGCGCAAATAATATCATGATCAGCATCGATCCAGCGAAGGAAAATGGCGCCAAGGGTTTTCTGATTGATCCAGAATTAGCATTTATTCCAGAAATGTCGAAGAAAGAACTAAAGTACCTTACGGTGCGTACGTCTGCCTCCGTTGCCCGTGTACCTCATTGACAAACATCATCTAGGGAACTATCCAATTCCTGTCCATTGAGCGACTACAAGAGAACCAGAGCGACCACAAATCATGGCATGATTTGGAGTCCGTCTTTTGGACCGTTCTCTGGGCAGTTCTTCGACACACCAACTCTTGGGTGACCATTACGGAGTACGGTACCCCGCGGCCTGGCAAGGACTGTGTCACCGAGATATTTGACACTCCGAAGGGAGGCGGCAAAATGATATTCCTCACTCTCGGAAAGGTCGAAGTTGAGGGTAATGTCCCGCTCACGAATTGCCTCGCCAAGCTTCGATTTCTGGTATACACCAAGTACGTCCGGGATCCGGAGATCAAGGCTTTACTGCGTCAGGAAGCCGAGGACGAGTTAAAGGGACAGGATTTCACATGAATCGTTTTTGAAGGTCATCGAGGATGCCCTTTGAGGATCGGAGCAAGTGGCCGCGCAACGACGGTGCCAAAGAGTTCAAGCCCGCTGGTAGACCCCGGGACAGAGGAAACACAGAGACAGGTATTACCCTGTCGCAAAGG